TTTATCTCAGCACAAATTGAAAAGATCTGACAGATCACCGAGGAACAGCTCAGCTGTACTGATTTTGGGGTAATTCACCCAAACTCAACTGTGGCTGTGGCTGTCTCACCTGTGAATCAGTGGAGACACCTTGAATATTGGTGGTTTTATGTCTAGAAAAGGCTTAGAAAACACGGGAAGAGCCACTGAGGAAAGCAGCAGGGGCTCAGGTGACTCCAGTATCTCTCTCCACCCTTTGCTGAGCTCTCCTGGCACGAACGCAGCGTAAAGGATTCGGCCGCGCGCTCGCTCCACTCACCCACCCCTTTGTGCAAACAGCACTGACACAACCTCCCAGAGCAAACCCGAAAAAGAGGGGAAACTTGCCTCTTGAGGGCCTCCTGGGCACCGGGCACGGCCGAGTCCTCGACGTGGAGGGTGCCATTGAGATCCACCAGCACAGCCTTCAGCGCACGCCGCGCTGCCATTGCGCCCGGGGGACAGGCCCAGGCACCCCGGGATTCCTGAGGATTTAAAAATAAACCCCACATAATTGATGGGGGAGTGTTTTTCTCACAAAGACTCTGGAAATCAGGTGCTGTTTGCTCTTTGAGTGCATCAAAACAAAATAAGCTCTCTGAAGGACTCAAGGGTGCTGTGGAGAGAGAGAGCCATTAGGCCTGCGATTGCAGGCCCAAGGCCTCAGCAAGAATATTTCAGCTAGTCTCACCGACATCGACAGTGAAAATAAAGACACTGTGCTCTAAAGCTGTGTCTCTAAAGCTGCATTTTGGCTGTAAAGCTCAGAATGCTCTGCCAAAGTGGAAGCTGTTGATTTTATTTTTGTAAGAGCATGCAGCCCACACCACAGCCACTCTGAGGCGGCTCAGTCAGGATTTTTGCAGATTTTTAGCCTGGAAGCTCTCAGGGCTCCGGTATATCCAGCACCTCAAAGGGTCATTCCATGCTCTGGCAAAAGGGACAGTTTTTCTGGTTCCACGTACTCAGCCCAAAACAAAAGCCAGGATTTGAAGGGTAAAGGTACCAGGGGAGGAACAGAGAGGTGATGTTTGAGTCCTCCAGCTAAAGATCTGCCTCCAGAAACAAACACTTCCCCTCACGAGGGCTGCAAGCGCTGCATTTTGCTCCATGAACAAGTCTGAGGAGCTGTTTCTCAGAAAATGTCCAATACAGCTCCAATACAGCACAGTTTTCTCCTGTTCATTAGACAAGAACCATCTGAGAAGGCTGAGAGATTTGGGATTATAGAAGAGAGGCTTGGGGGTGATCTGATTTTGGCTTTTCAGTACCTGAGGGACAATTTCCAAGTGACGGAGGGACAGGACACAGGGAATATCCCATATATCCTTCCCAATATCACATGTGTCCCTGTCCCAGAGGGCAGGCACAGATTTTGGGATCTTGGGCAGGAATTGCTGGCTGGCAGGGTGGGCAGGCCCTGGCCCAGGGTGCCCAGAGCAGCTGTGGCTGCCCCTGGATCCCTGGCAGTGCCCAAGGCCAGGCTGGATGGGGCTTGGAGCAGCCTGGGATAGTGGAAGGTGTCCCTGCCCATGGCAGGGGATGGCACTGGAGCAGCTTTAAGGTCCTTTGTACCCAAACCGCTCTGGGATCTGCAAACTCTATGAGTGACCACAATTTTGTGTTCAGCTGGTTTGGTTACAGACAGCATGTAGCAAGTCTGTACTTTTAAAAAAGCACACAGCGTAGTCAACACCATGACTGGACCCTGCCCTAGTAAATTTCTGTCACTGTTATCTTTGCAGACAGTTTTATAAATGGTTGTGGGCCTGGGGTCTCAGGTACACCATACACACACCAGGAAGCTTTGACATTCTACTACCATTATTCCTGCTGGTTCTCTGCAATAAGAAAATAAATAAAAATGCTTCTCTTACTGTATGCCTGTTGATATGAAAGCCAAAGTTAAATGTTAATGATACACAGCTGAAAACAGAACTCCTAAAGAAGCTTCATCAATTTCAATGGAAATTGCTTTTATTATTATTACAACTATTACCACTGTTACTGTTTTTATTTTGCTGTTACTATTTTATTGTTACCCTACATTTCCATCGGTTCTGCTGTTCACAGTGCATTTATTCAGGAAATGCAGAAGTTATCTCCAGAGCCAGTTTCCAGCACAGCCTGATTTTAAGGAAAAAGCTCATGGACTGCCAAGAAGCCCTAAAAGGTCTCCAGAACCGCAGTTTTTATCATCACATCCCAACGAAAACTCACCTTGTCAGGACAAAGGGACACCCCAGCCCCGGTCTCTGAAACAAGGACACGAGGAACACAAGACACAACCTAAGGGAAAGCGGGATATATTCTATACAGATATAGGTGGTTATATATATGTCCCTCGGTGGAAGGATGCGGATGGCACAGGTGTGTGCCCTCCCGTCCCCCAAAATCCCCGTCTGGCGGGGATGGTACCGCCCCTTCCCGCCAGATCACAACAGGCACACGGGCTGGCCGATTCCCTACCGGGGGAGTCCCGACCACGGCGAGCTCCCCTTTCCCTGACGAGGATGGTTCCGCCCGCCCGTTCGCGGCCGAAGGCGGCGGACGCGCCCACGCGGAGGAGAGGGGGGAGCAGCCAGCGCGGCTCCCCCGGCACTGACCTGTTCCCGCCGCCGCCGCCGCCGCGCTCTGCCCGCCGCCCGCGGGGTCCTGGCGGAGCCGCGCCCGCCCAGCCCCGCGCCGGGCCCGCCCGCCGCCAGCGCGGCAGATAATAAACAGAATGTAATGATTATTGTCATAAATAAATACCGGCCTCAGCCCGCAGCGGGCCTGCCGCCGGTCGGCGTCCGGCAGCCGCGACAGGCAGCGCGGGGGCAGCCCGCAGGGCCCTGAGGGCGCGGGGCGCACCGAGACGCGGGTATGGTTATAAATTATATAAATTACACCCGTTCTGTCAATTGTATCCCCTGTTACAGCCTCTTTGTCCTATAGATACAATATGTAATCATACCCTTTGTGGTATGATCATAAATCGTGTAAATTATATCCCTTATATCCTGTATGGACATGTTTATATCCGTAGCCATACACTATGGATATCCATAAACTGTTTATCAATTATACATCAATAATCTCTATATTGCGGATTTATTGTGCCCTGTATGGATATTATACATAATAGTGTATTCACATATCGATATGATGATATTTATATATATATATATAGACTTTATATACAAAAAGTTATATCCATATATGGATATATTATACCCATAATATACCCACGGTAACTAGTATATATTTATATAGAAATACATATCTACATCTTGGATATTAGGAAGAAGTTATTCCCATTATATATCTACAATTTAATGTTTTAAATTACATCCATAATATGTCCGTAGTTACAATGTAACATAATACATATTATTATATTACGCTCCAATTACTGTATCCGTATATTAATATATTTTATACCTATATTTATAATTCCACATTTATGTGCTTAAATATATTTTTGTAACATGAATTTTAATCTACAAACGCATGAATTTTATATATAGTTTTACAACTATTACCGAGGTGTACAGACATGTAATAACTTTATTTTGCACATTCCTTGTTTTCTGCGGTTTCATCCACAGAGCTGCTCCAGAGCTGCTGGAAGCCACGCCAGGGGACGGCAGCAGCGTGGTTATTCCCTGGCTGTCCCTGCACACCTGATCCTCGGCTGCTGCCCCACTTTGAATCCCGATTTTTCACCTGTCAGGTGGAGCTCGTCCCAGTTTTGCCTCCAGCATGGGATTCCCGCTGCTCCTTCTCCCTGCCCGTGTGCCTGCAGCCCCTCTGGAAGCACAGCAAGAAGGAGAACATCACTTTTCACACATTTTATTTCAAAGCTGCCGCCTGCAATCTTTAGTGCTGGCCTTTTTTTCAGTAAGGACAAATGAGGTTTTGGTGCAGAAATGGAGTTACGGCCTCGCTGTGCCTCCGATCGTTCAGCACTCAGTGCCACAGCCACGGAAACGACTGCCGCTTTTCCTTCCAATAAAACTTCATAGGGATACAACACGTTCCAGAGGCACATTGCCCCGTTTCCACCCAAGACAGATCTGTGAGAACAGCTCAGCCAGGCTGTACCCTCGTCACCTCTGACTGACACAGAGAAATTACTCCTAACAGATCCACAGGTTTTAAAATCTAAGGATCCTCAAGATCCTGTTCTGCCTCAGGACAGCGTTGCCACGTCTCCCTGGGTTTGCTACAGAAACCAAAATACAGCTCCACAGCAGAGATGATGTTGCCACGTGCCACGGGATGAGGAAAAAGTTACACATTTCATATAAGAGCGGTAGCTGGAACAGGATGGAGCAGAGTTTTGAGATATCCCCACTGTACCCAGAGAGAGAGAGTTGGGAAAGAGAGTGCTTGGAAATTCAGGATTTATTTACAAAAATCACAAGAAAAAAGGAAACAACATAAACCTCTCCTCCTGGATGTACTTTACTCTGCAAAAACCTGTGACTGACGATCATTAAATGCATTTACATGTTTTACAGATTCTTCTTCATATACAACAGCATATGCTTTAGTCATCAAGACGTCGGGAGAAAAGATGACTGACTAAGCTGCTTTAAAATAATGAAACTGCCAAGCTTCCCTTGGCCTCCCCTCTTTGAAGTCAAACATTTAGCAGAGGAACAGACAAAGGATTCTAACTTCTCTATAAAGATACATGAGAATCACCTTTCCCAATTCAGCAGTCTGAGACTAGACCGGTGGAGAGCAATTGGGAGCGTTCTGTTCCGCAGAACTGCGAAGTCACACACACAGCTGCACTTTCAAAGCTGTTAATGAAACAAATTATGGTGATGATGATGATGATGGTGGGGGGGGAGGAGCAGTAACAGAAGGGGCTGCAAATTTGTGGGTTTTTCCCACAGAAATGCATTTGGAAAGCACCTCCCATGGTACTCCCCTCCCACGTTTCCCAGGAAGCTCGGAATACAAACGGTTCCCCACTTCGACCACAGTGATCACCACGCAGAAGTTTAATACATATTTTAAAAAGTATAATAACAATTCTTGACAGAAAAGTAACAAATACTAATCACTAATATCCCCAAAGTTAACACAGAGTTACCCAGCTTTAGGTACAGCTTTTTTTTTCTTAATTTTTTTTTTTTTTTTAATTTTGCACTACAATTGCACCCATTTTCTACTGACTTTACCATCAGTATGAAATAGTGATTTGAAGACAAAAATCCCCAATCAAAGCAGGAAAATTCAGCTTTCAATGTTAACCTGAATCAGGACTTTACCCAGCTGATTTTATCTCCCTCCATATCACAGCTGGACTTCAAACCTTTATAACAAGTATTCTTTATGACACACTTTCAGAGCCTAATTCATATTCTCTTAAACAGTTCCATGGTAGCAATTGAAATGAAAACAAACACGTTTGTTGTTTTCCTCAAATTTAAAAACAAATTGGAGAGCGTACTGAAGGAAATTCATCCCTGAGTAACAAAGCATTTAAAAGCTGCATCCCATTGCCAGTCACTGCAACATCCTATGACATTTACTCTAGTAATTAATCAGCACTATGAACAGGCAGCAACAGAACTGGTCACAGTCCAATGTGTTTGCAGCGTCGTTGCATTGATCCCGTGATCCTGCTTAATGAAACTGCAAGGGAACATTAGGAAATGGGATACATAGAAACAGTGTCTTTTATTGTTTTAAGTTGAATGTCAGATTGACAGCTAAACCGTGCTGGATCCCAGGGAATTCAGAGCAGTGGTGGTCAGCAACTGGCTTCTTTGGATGTCCAAGGGGTTTCTACAGGGTGTCTTCAGCCGAACAGCAGGAGGAGAACAATGGTGATGGAGTTCAGGGCTATTAATGGCACTGCAGAGGGGCAAAAAAGAGAAGTTAATAGTGAAAATGTTGCTTTCCACATCACAAAATGACAGAACTTCATATAACCTTGGGAGAAGGAGCAGAAACAGTGAAAATTTTAGAAATACTTTTCATTTTCCGGTGTAAAGTTGGAACCAGTGGAAGGATCCAGGCTCAAAGACATCAGTAGAAAGCAACAGCAGAAATATTTTTCCACAGCCTGTTTTAACTATAACCCAGAGCCTTTAGATCTGTTTTCACTTCAACACAAATAACTCTTTCTCCAAATGAAAGTAAACTGTCTAAAATTCAGCTTATATCCTTGGCTTTACTGTGCTTTAGAATAAATGTTTTGGGTTTTACTCAGTGGTAGGCAAGACAGGTTAAGATTTGTTACTTCCTCTCTACCATCATCTACAAAATTACTTTTGTGTCCTTCATAATGAAGAACTGTCAGTAATTTACAAATTAAGTGTATTTTCTCCCCATCTTCTGAGGCAAATAAGCCTGGCTTGCCTTTCAGAAACCCTGGAATTACACTTCCCTCACAGGTACTTCCCACAAAGATGGATTTAGACAAAGTTAATGACACTAATTGCACACTTTGGTTCATCACCAAACTTCCTCCCAGCTGCCAAACTCTAAGGGAAGGCAAAAGCTCAGCAGGAGAAACCCAAGCCAGAGCCAGGGAATGTTTTTGCACTTTTACCAGAATCAGGGCACTTTAGGTGAGGCCTGCACCCTCTCACAGAGAGTCCAGCCTGGAGGAAGTATAGATTAGTGCAGAAACAAGACATTACAGATTGTAATAATAATAATAACAGTCAGCATAATCATAATAATAATAGTAAATACTGTGCCCTTACCTCTCATAACGGTTCGTATTGATCGAATGAGGTTTGTCAGCTGTGCTTTAATTCCTGGTTCCTCTCCAAATCCTCCAATCCCTTGATCGCTTCCCCAGCCAACTGGGTCACATAAAAACAGACACACACTTTAGGAAAAAAACCCCAAAACCACACAACAAATGCTGCAATTTTAACGAGCAGTCTATCCTGAATGTAGCTTATACTAACAGAGATAGACAGCCCAATCAGCCTTATTTCACAAGCATATTTTAATACAGGAGGCTGAAAGCTGTTAAACCTCACGTTAAGCCATGACAAATCCATGTTTCTGTAAAAAAAAACCTCACCTTTTTAATACATCACTGTTCCCTGCGTGCCCAGACTAACAGGTGAGTTCATCTGGGCTTAAAAAATAAAACAGCTGTCAAAATAAACCCTAAACCAACTGCAACCTGTTTGTAGTACTGAAAACAAAACAGCAAATAATTGCTGGGTGTCAAGTGATAATGCTTCAGCACTGAGAAAGGGGCCACAGGAGAGAAAAACGGCCAGCACAAATTCCAAAATCGGGGCGATGATTTTTGCAACTGCTGTAAAAAAATTTTTTTAAAATCTAGAACTTTTGAGGGAAAAAAACTGGGAACTTTTCTGAGTGTAGCAGAAGTCCTGAAGTTTTATGATGCCCAGATACAGCATGATGGGATCAGGGATGTGTCCAGGGATTTCTAAGACCTGCTGGTCACAGCCCTTACCATTTTGGGTAGGAGCAGCTCTCAACACACCAAGCTCCACTGCCCAAGCTGTGCGTTTCCCTCCCCAGAGGCCACTTTGGAGTGATTTTTGTTCTCCCTTTCTCCTCTCCCTGGCACAAAACTGAGGGTGGTGGGCGAGTCCTCTCTCAGCAGCCTTGCCAGCTGCTGCTTCCCACTGGGATGAGCCTGGAGCTATATTCCCAAGTCTCAAGAGGCTGACAAGTGGCTTCACCCATCCCACCAGCCCCACATCTCCCTTTTAATTCCAGCTGCTCGTCAGGAGAGCAAAAGAAAAGCCCAAACCCTAAGTGAGCAGATCCCTTGACACAAATCTAGCCGGGAGAAAGGGATGCCCTTCTGCACTCCTGCCAAAAATCCTGGCTCAGCCTGACGTGGAGAAGTCAGGATTCTCCACGCCAGTGAACTGGGAACCGTGGATCACTGGCGTTTTTTTCCCCTCCACGGCTTTGCAGATCTTTGTCAGTGGATTTTCTCTGTTTTGCAGAGCTTTGGCTTCTTTTGAAGGGCAAGGATGCCCAGCCCTGGGAATCCCACGCACCGAGAGTCGCCATCTCATCAAGAACCAGGCACCGCAAGAAAAATTAAACCTTTATACGACACCAAACACTCCGAGGCGCGGCACGAAGGGCGGCGAAACAGTTAAAAATGAACAGGGAAAAGGGACAATTACAGGGGGAAAAAAAAAAAAAAAAAAAAAAAAGAGACAAAGGTACGATTTATCCCCAAAGCCCAAACGCACCCCGATTCCCAAACCCCTCCCCCGCGCGCTGCTGCTCCCATCGGCAGGGAGCGGCGGCGGGGGCCGCGGCCACCCCCCCAGGCCGGGCGGCCCTCCCAGCTCACCGTGGCGGAGGAAGCGTTCCTCGTGCAGCACGGCCACGGCATTGACGATGAGGAGCGAGGCCTGCAGCAGCGAGTAGAGCGTGAACGCCATGGCCCGGCGGGGCGGAGCGGGGCGGGACCGGGAGCAGCACCGGGAGCGGGAGCGGGAGCGGCGCCCGAGAGAGACGTGGCGGGGCTGGGGGCGGAGCCTCGCCTCACGGCCGGGAGGGGCGGGGCTTTGATGGGCGTGGCCTCTCCGCTGCTGCCGCGCGTTGGGCGCGCAGAGAGGGGGCGTGGCGCTATGGGGCGGGACACATATGGGGCGTGGCTAGAAGCGCGCGGCCCAATGGGGCGTGGCTTTGTTGGGGCGTGGCCTCCCGGCGGCGCTGTTCCCGCCCCTGGAGGCGTGGCCTGAGGGGGGCGTGGTCTCGGCTGCCGGCAGCCGCGCGCGCCGTTGGGCTCCGCCGCGGATCCCTCGGGACCCCGAATCCCTCGGAGCCCCTCGGGTCCCGCGGAACCCCGTGGATCCCTCGAGCCCGTGGATCTCGCAGAGCCCCGTGGATCCCTCGGTGCCCCTGGGATTCCTTGGAGCCTCTTGGGTCCGTTGGATCTATGGATCCCTCTGGTCAATGGATCACTTGGATGCCTGTGGATCCCTCGACTCCGTGGATCTCTCGGAACGCCGTGGGACCCGTGGAGCCCCTTGGGTCCATTGGATCCGTGGATCCCTCACGGCCATGGATCCTTTGGAGCCCTGTGGAGCCCTCGAGTCCGTGGGTCCCTCAGAGCCCCGTGGGTCCCTCGGAGCTCCTTGAGTCTGTCGGGACCGTGGATCCCTCGGGTTCATGGATGCCTCAGAGTGCTGTGGTTCCATCAGAACCCCTTGGGTCCATTGGCTCCATGAATGGCTTCGGTCCATGGATCCCTTGGAACACCGTGGATCCCTTGGGTCCATTGGTCATTCAGAGACCTTTGGATCCCTTGGGTCCATTGATCTGTCAGAGCCTCTTGGGTTCACTGGGTCCATGGATCCCTCATGTCCATGGAGCCCGTGCAGCCCTGTGGATCCCTCGGGGCCGTGGATCCCTCGCATCCACATGGGTTCCTAGGAACCCCTTGGGTCCGTCGGATCCATGGATGCCTCGGGTCCATGGATCCCTCGGAGCCCCGTGGTTTTCTCAGGTCCGCGGGTCCTTCAGAGCCCCGTGGATTTCTCAGGTCCGTGGATCTCTCGGAGCTCCGTGGACCTCACAGCGCAGGCTGTGACATGGGAAGCTCCGCTCGCCGTGTAGCAAGTGGCCTTTGGATTCGGAGCGGGAGTAAGGCTCATCCTCATCCTCCTCCTCCGTCGGTAACGTGGTGTCTCCCGGCGGTGGAAGCTGGCAAGGAGACATCAGCCGGCGTGGGGCAGCCCCCGTGGCCATCCGTCATCAGCAGCCCAACACAAGTACAATTAATAAAAAACCATAAACACTGCACATGCAAAAATACATGAGTTTATACTTATATTTAGCCTTATGGACAGCGGGGTTTTCCCGTGTGTTTTCCAAATACATTGGCTTTCCTTCTATCCTGACTGAGGTTTCTAGCAGGAAGTCAGCCCAGATCCCAGATGCTGTTTGTCCAGCATGTAATGCTGCAGAGTCCAAAGCACAGTCCAAAAGAAAACTATTACCTTTTATAGGGGATTGATCACGGCATCTGGGCGGTTCTGCAGTCAAATCACAAAACAACCACAACTGGAGCTCAGGGATGCTGTATATACTGTTATAACTGCTGTAGTTACACACTTATCCCTGTTCTGTAGTTACACAGTTATCCCAGAGTAGTTATTGATGCACAAATAGACTTTTTTTCCCCTTCGCCTCTTTCAGTCCCATTGGCTGAAGGGGGTGATTTGCACAACCCCCCTGATTTTATTTCCCCGCAATTTCACAGAGCACAAGCCCCTTAACTCTGGATGGTTGGTGCTTTTATTACTCACTCAGGGCACAATGATTTGCATGACCACTTGGTGGTGGTGGTTATTAGATCCGAGTGCTGCAGTGGAGGTGACAACTTTGTGCTCAGTGTGGTGGACTGCAGAGACCCCATCTCGGTTCCCTGCCCTGCCACAGACTTCTGACACAATCTGGACCAATTACTCACCATTTATCAATATTGTGTCCCCATGCTCTGTGTGAAGATCCCCTCTCCAGCAAGTGATGATCTGATATTTCAATTAATTGATTGTCATGAGTATGTAATCAATAGATGGTCAGGTACCACGTGAATCAGCTGTGAATAAACCCACACCTCAGCTTCTTCTTGTGTTCATCTTTCCTTTCCAAAACACCCACCTTGGTACAGTCAGTGTCACAATATTGTGCATCTTAATAGTCATTACTATTAAATAACATTAGATTTTAATACTGGAACAAAGGTAAAGCACTCCGCCACCAGAAGCACAGCACATTTTCTTTACAATTTACCCCCAAAATTACTGCTATTGTACAAGGGAGATAGAGAATCAAGGATATTCATCAGAGTTCTGTCATCTGGTCAAAAGCATTTGTCATTTCAGCCTCAAAAAGGAGCATAGTCTCAATTCAGGGTAGTGACTAAAACATCTATTGCAGTTGCAGTGAGCTCAATATCTTTGAAGCCTGTACTGAAGTGTTTTCTTACATGAAAACTCATTGTTTTTCCCAAATGCTGGCTTTGGTTCTGAAAACTCTCATGTGTGTGATTAACTTCATAAGCCAGCGTTTAGTGGGAGCACTGGAGTGTAGTGGCACATGTGAACACACACTTCCAGGCTCAGTTCCAACACAGCTTCTCTATTTCTCATCTAGGTTTTTAAATTTGCTGTGACTGAAAAACTCCTAAAACCCATCATTTTAACATTTTACAGTTGAGCCATTTCTAGTATCCCAGGTCCTGCTTTCTTCCCTGCCCCCCAAATTTGTAGGGTTTATAATTCAAATAATCTTTTCCCATCTGTAAATAACAACAACAACAACAACAAAGCTTATCTTGAGTTTACCAAACTCCATACAGGCAGAGAAAGTCAATATTGGCCTGAAAAACTTCATCCTGAAGGTCACTACAAATTTTTAAGAAGTTCTGAGTGGTGACATGTGATGGTCTCACAAACAGAGCTGTCTTTTGTCCTCAGACATAACTTAGGGCATTCTGGCAGTGATTCTGTAATTAAATGCAGATGAATATGGGGTTCACTAACATAGATATCTAGTAATCACCATGATCAAGTAGCATTTCCTGAGCTCCTTCCTTACGGTATACAAGCTATAAATAAATAAATGCCAACCCCAGTGAAGAGCTAATGCTTAGAGTTATGGCCCTGAAAAAAAACCCCGAGGTTTTTGCAATAAGTACACAAGTTATGGCTTAGTATTTTTACCCATAATTAAGATGTATTTTGAAAGAGCAGCTGCCATCAAGCTGACATAAACTTGACATGATTTTCCCCTTAATGAAATCCATCATGGCAACTTAGCAACCACAGGAGTCTTATCTCTGAATCATGTTACGTGGTTGAAGGGAAAACCAGATAAAGTTGCTTGCATTAGAAGGAAAGGGGCATTTTTTTTTCTGTTTCATTAAGGTGTCGTGTTTCAGTACAGTAAATTCCCGTGGTGTCATCTGCAGGGTGCAGTCAATCACCATAAAGGAGAGTTTTAAACCACCTTACAGATGTCAAAGGATTAAACTTCAGGCTGGTGAAGTATTGTGAAGGCACTGGTGTTTTTCACTCTCAGTTTCTCGTTCAATATTTTCAGGCAGAGCTCATCTCCCTGGGTCTCACTGTCCCTTGTACTTAATGAGAAGCAAGCTTGTTGCATGGGAGATTTTGGGGTTAACTGAGTTTAATCCTGATGAGAAAATACCAGGACAAAGGAAGCTCTGTTATGACTTCAGCTCCTATACCCTTCACCTCACTTGCCACCACCATCTTCTGACTTTATTTTCTGAACTAGCATTAACCATTTCCTTCTTTAGGCACTGTACATACCCAGATACACACACATCAGTGAGAAAATGTTGTGGGCCCAGCAAAGTCTGTAAATTGATCCCAAGCAGTGAAGAAATGTATTTTTTTGGTGACAGGTTTTTTCCCCACTCCTATCATCAGTAACTTCATTAACTGAAAAACTTTGTGTAGGTGAAAAAAATTAGGTTCTTCATCTCAGCCTGGTGCTATAAATAAATCCAATAGCTAAATTTCACAGTTAGACTAAAGCCTTTGTCATCCCTCACTCATCACACCTATAGCACTGTCGAAGAGCTGTAAAGTTAATGGTGCATCCGACTGATGTAACACGTCCCTGGTAAGCACAAATTGAGTGACTGGTTTAATGTCCAGATGGGTTTTTTTTTTTTAAAAAAAAAAGAAAAAACACCAAAGCTGGGAATGCAGTAAGATTTTGTACATTTGGGACAATGTGTGTCTGGTCCTCACCTGTCAGCAGCTGTGTGCAGAAAAGATCCTTGCCTTTTCTGTGACTCATGGGTCACCTCTGCCCTTGCTTATTTGAGAAGTGAACAGCCATCCCTCCAAAAACACAGCCTGACAGCCTTCCTGAGATTTGAGAGGACATTAATAGGGCTTCATACACAAAAGAACTGCCTGGGGATTGAGGAACAAAAGGGAAAACCATGCACAATTCTGGACTTACACCTAAATTTATCGATGCTGTTTTCCTAAGTTACTTGACTCTGTAACCATAACAGCCTTTAAATGTCATTTGTTGCCTGGTTCTCTCTCTCTCACAGACACAGAAACAAACACACACATGCTGTTGCTCATCTTGCAGCCACCAGGAGTACAGAATGGTTATAGAATGGTTTGAGCTGGAAGGGATCTTAAAGATCATCTCTGTGACATGACATTTTCTATTATTATTGGCACTGTTTGTATTGCTTTTGCACTGGAATACACCAGCCCAGACCCAAATCCTGTCATGCTCAGTGCCATGCAGATATTTTTCAGAGGCAGGCATAGGGATTTTCCAATCCATGTCTGAGATGGAAGACAGTGGATATCTAAAGGAGGCCAACGTGGGGAGCGGGGCAGCAAGGAAACAAATGGATTTTTGCAAGGAATTACAAGTCTCTGCTTAGCCCTGCCTCACTGCTGACAGACGGGCAGGATTTTCAGGCATGGAGGCAGCTGGGAGTCTTAGGGAG